ACTGACCACAAGCTGCTCCTTGGGCTTTTGGCCAGTTACAGGCCGACCTTTCTCATCCTGTCCCCCAAGATGACCCGCTGGATGGAGTTTCTCACAGCATACTCGTACACGCTGAGATACTGTCCTGGCAAGCAGCTGGGGCATGCCGCTGCCCTCAGCCACTGCCCTCTGCCCTGCTCTGACCCCCAGCCAGTCCCATGTCTTTCGATCCTCTCCATTGCTGAGTTGGACCTTCCTCTATCAGCCACTTATATGGCTGCCCACTCCAAAGCTAACCCTGTCCTCTCTCAGATCATGGCATGGGTCCTGAGGGGCTGGCCTACAGGGGGTGTCTCTCCGGAGTTCCGCCCCTTTAAGACACGTCAGCTGGAACTGTCCCTCCACTGTGGTTGCCTGCTATGGGGCGACCAGGTGGTCATCCCTCCCTCCCTCTGCTCCCAGGTCCTCGACCGTCTCCATGCAGACCACCCGGGGTCGCACACATGAAGGCTCTGGCCCGGAGTTACGTTTGGTGGCCCTGTTTGGATGACGAGATCGAGGCCTGGGTGGGGAGGTGTGTGCCCTGCCAGGTGTCCTGCCCTGCACCCCCCCTCTGCCTGCTCCAGGGAGTGGGAGCTGCCTCGCGGGCCCTGGTCTCGCCTTCATCTCGATTTCGTGGGTCCTTTCCATGGCCAGGTATTCCTGGTCGCCGTGGATGCCTACTCTCGCTGGGTGGAGTTGGTGCTTATGCACTCCACCACCGCAGAGAATATGTTCGCCACACACGGGTTGCAATTTTCTTCCACAGTCTTCCAGGCCTTCCTGGCCGCCCAAGGGATCCACCATATGCCGGTCGCCCCTTACCACCCGGGCAGCAATGGCCGGGCGGAGAGAGCAGTCCGCTTGGCCAAGGAGGCTTTGGGCCACTTGGACGGTGGCAACAGGCAGGCAAGGGTGGATGCTTACCTGATGGCTCAGCACTCCACTCCTTGCCCCCTCACGCGGCAAAGCCCTGCGGAGCTGTTGATGGGTCGGCGCCTGCGGACCACCCTGAGTAGACTTCACCTCCTCTATTCAGGGACTCAGCCTGGCAACCTGGGGAACCCCTCCCGGTCTTTTGGCCTGGGAGATTTGGTATGGGCCAGGAATTACACAGGGGACCCTCTGTGGGTGCCTGCCACCATCACTGAAATAACCAGCCCCTGTTCCTATAGGGTCCACCTACCCAATGGCAGCGAGTAGCGCCGCTACCTGGATCAACTGAGGCGCCGCCACCCTCCAGAGGCCTCCACTCCTTCCGCTACACTGAGGCCAGCTGCCATCGGGGACGTCTTACCTCTCCAGCGCCGCCTCTTCAACTGAGGCATTCTGGGTGTGTCCGCTGCCCACCCGCCTGCCTACTTACAGGAGTACCCATGTGCCACTTCCGGCGCATGCACCCTCTCTGGGTGGGAAGAGGTGTTTAGTCCTCGTCTTACGAATGACAGCACGGCAACAGCCAGGCGCACCTGATTGGCTCCAGCGCGCCATGGCTGAGCGCGGGCTGTCAAACGCGTGGCTATTGGCCTCCCTGCTTGACAGCTCCATATAAATAGCTGTCAAGCAGGGAGGAGGTCCCTGTCTACAGCTGTTCTGGCTTGTTACTGTTCTATGAATAAAAAGTTGTGTTAACTTGCCTCGGACGCCTCCTGCCTCATCCTTCTAGGGGATTTAACAGGGTGGGATTTGGTTCTCTGAACCGGCCATAATGTTAGCTATGCATTCTTTCAAACCTCGGTGAACCTGTAGCAGCCCACCTCTGACATAGCTGTACTCGCTGCTCCTCAAGGCATTTTTACTAGTGAAAAGTGAAAGGAGATAGGTTGTAGCTGGGAAATACTGGGAAACAAGGGAATATTTTCTATTTAAAAACACGTTTAGAAGGGTTAGAAAATGAATTGTAAATAATGTGATTGGATAGAAGGATAGATAATGTATTAAGTAGGCTGACAGTTAATGGATGAGATTATGTGTATATACTGTGATTGTATGGCTTCGCTGTGTGCACTATTTTAAATGCAAAAACAATAAAAATATATTTTAAAAAAGAAAATGATTTGAAAGGTGGTCTAGAACCTCGATCCACCAAAGTATGTTCTTGCTGTTCATTAAAAAAATATCCAACCTTTCCAAGCTTCCAATGGTGCTGGTTTGAGGGTCCCTTCTAGAGTCTGTTTTAGCTTTAATGAATAGATTCCTTACAGCAGAGATAGTTAGGGTTTTTTTAGGTTTACAATATGTAGAAGCTTTAAAAAAGTTTGATTCCATTAAGAAAGAATAGAGAAATTCTTCAGAATAGTTTCCCATTTTTTTCCAAAATATAGCAGCCTTTCCAATTATAAGGGCAAGCCAAAGAAATTTCATGCACATTTCCTCTGTTACTTGAAGGACCAAAAATATGAAAAGAATCTTGGCTATGCCTTTGCTTGTAGGAACAGCAGCATAATTGAATATAAGCTGATGTAGATTGTTGTTAGTTGCAAAGTCGTGTCTGACCCATCATGACTCCATGGACAACGTTCCTCCAGGCCTTCCTGTCCTCTACCATCCCCCGGAGTCCATTTAATTCACACCTACTGCTTCGGTGACTCCATCCAGCCACCTCATTCTCTGTCGTCCCCTTCTTCTTTTGCCCTCAATCTTTCCCAGCATTAGGATCTTCTCCAGTGAATCTAATGCAGGTAAATTATCTCAAATTATCATTTTTTTAAAAAAAATATGTAATTTCAGTTATTTTTACACATTTCTTCTCAGACATTCTTGTTTCTCAAAACCCATATATGGCTTACACAGTGGCAATTATGGAAATGTAATTTATATTATTTTTTTAAAAAGCAGACTTGAATTCTCTTCCTCACTGTCAATAGCTTTCCAGATACCAGCTGCCAGAGATGGAGTAAAAAAAAAAAACACCATCTGGAATGCATTTAAAGTCTCAGCTTAGTTTGTGTGTGTTGCAACATGAGGGTGAATTCCCACCCTTTTTAATATTGTGTTGCCTGTGGAAAAGAGCAGGGCTTTTATCACATGGCTCTGCCTGCCATCTTGGTTTTTTGATGTACCCTTGGCAGACATTGTTTTAGACAATGACCAGTGAAAAAATGTTGAAATGCAAATAAGGACGTTCTTACTGTGCTTCTGTTGGTAATTAAGATATGAAGGTTCATCAATTATCCATGGGAATAAACATGCTAATGATATTCATGATTTCTTCCTTTACTATAGAAGTTAAAAAGGATTATGTAAATAGCTGTTTTGGGGCATCGATTGGCTTAAGCTTTCCATTTCAAGAAACTCTGGAAATAGATGCCAAGGTGAACTTCAATCAATGTGGCACAAAAGGAGGCATGAGCGAAGGTAGGAAATAGACTTCTTCACTCTTGTATTTAAAATGTCTTTGTTTCCATAAGGGGACTCAGGCACTAGAAATTATTCTTCACAGAGCAAAACAGACACAGCGTGCTGCATTCTCTTGCTGCCGGCCCTTATTCTATTTGATAAAACACAATTTGTTTTAGAAATTAAGGATTATTTCAAAGGAGAAGAAAATGTTTATGAGGGGCATATGGTAGTCTTGGTCACAAAATGACTAGGACGTATATAGGAATGTCTTCAAAGTCTTGAATGTCATAGGATTCATTCTATGTTTTGTTAATTTCTTGCCATCAATTGATTTCATTCATAACGATGGATGGCAAATTAAAGGGGAAGGAACAATAACAGGAAAATATATATTTTGAATTCACAAGAAGGAGGTCAATGTTATGATGCAGTTTTAACATCTATGTTGACAAATGCTGTGCATACTATGATTATATATTATACTGTAGATGAATAGCACAATATTCCAAATTCTTGTAATTCTTATCCCCTTTTAAGTTACTTCAATTAATGAGTGTCTGTAGAATTAGGGAAATCATAGAAATGAAATCTAATTTTTTTCAACTGTTCAACTTTCCAGATGGCTCTGAAAATAAGTCAGCCATAGAAGATATTATTCCCCGGGTAGAAGGTGGAGATGCCTCATCCATTGCCAGAATCCTGGAAAATAGGAGCTCCATAGCATACCGCTACTGGGGGAGGTCATTAAAACTTAATCCCACCATTATTGATTTTGAGGTAAGCCTTTGCTTTCACGTGTAGGAATGCTGCATTTGTAAAGGATTGAAAGTGTACTGGAGCAGATCATTTTATATTTTGATAGTGATTCCATCTTAGAACAAGCTTAAATGTAATGGGCTGTAGATACGCTGACCTTCTCTCCGTTTCACAAGGATACAAATGTTTGTTTTGTTTTTTAAAAATAAGAGGCCAAAAAAAAAAGACTTTCAAAGTAAGGGAGAGGTAAGAAGAGGACTTGCATTCTTAATATTTAAGTTTATGTTTATTGCACTGTGGCAACAAAAGAAAGGTGGGAATAGAAGCACTCATTTTAGGAAATTGAGCATTGTTATTCTTCAACAAGGAAGAATGAATTGTATTTTTTAACCTAGGTCCTGATATGATTAATCCTGCTGTGAAGCATTTACTACCAGGCAGTTTAGATATCCTGTCTAAGATGAAAAATAGCTACAGAGATGGAAACAGTCAACTGCCTTAATGGATCCTTCTAATTGTTTCCCTAGTTGACAAAGACATTTGGAGCAGATGTGGGGCAAGAAGGTGCTGAAGAAAACAGTGGTCACTAGATTGTACACCCCATACAGATAGTTTAAAATGAAATCAATTGTGGACATATTATCCCCCAAAAATAAAAGGAGCCATAAAAAAAAACTTTTCTGGCTCTCCTTTGCATATAGCAGCAGGATTAGATCTCCAAGAAATATAATAGGACTCTAGTTTTGTCCAGAAGGAGAGAATTCCATGTATTTGGTTGCCAAGCAATGCAACTAAGGCTTTTCTAAGCTAACCAAATGAAATGATTTGTTTGTTGGGTTGCTGTATCCTCATCCATGGCTGCAAGTATAACATCAGTTCATTATATAGCAATAGCACTTAGACCACAGGTGTCAAACTCGATTGTGTCACATGATGCATTGTGACATATCACAATGTTTTTTGCTGTGCGGAGCTGAAGTGGGTGTGACCTTCCCATGTTCAAATATGCTATCATTCAAAAGAGAATAAGGATACTAGATTTCTAGTTCACCATGAAATACATAAAACGGTAGAGTATAATGTGTAAAATCCTTGAAACTTTGCTGGTATCTAGTGTTATGTATTGCCTATATATAGTTGTGTTAAGCCCTGCTAAAGTGAAACCAACCTTTAGATGAATTTAACTGTTAACTGCAACTGTTTTAGAGGGAAACTTAGAAAATTCATATTTGGGTGGGCTTTTTCAAGTATTGTGATTGGTTAAGGCCCTGTGGGCCCAGAGCAGAGGTGGGTTCCTACCAGTTTGCACCTATTTGGTAGAACCGGTTCGTCAAATCTACCGAACCGGTTAGAAGAGGTTCCACCAGTGGACCCGGAAAGCAGGCCACACCTACAGAAGAGGGTCTAAAAATTTTTGAAACCCACCATTGGTCCTTGGATATGATTATTCTACACTATCATGCTCATATTTATAAAACTCAGTGCCTCTGTGAAAGGTAAGGATGACTACTGCATTTGTGGTGCAATCAGAACATAGTGTGTGTTGAAGTTGCTTTAATGCAAACCAAAGATGCTTTTTAAAAAACAAGTTTACATCATATTCTTATGCATGCCAGTGCAGTGTGTGAGGTAATTTAAAGTGGTTCTGACAAGTGTCGTCGGCATCTTCATATCCGGTCACATGGGCGGCAAGCCACTCCCATCCGGTCACATGGGTGGCAAGCCACTCCCACAAAGGAGGCCACACCCACAGAGTAGGTTCAAACAATTTTTGAAACCCACCACTGGCCCAGAGTATAAATTACAGGAATTTGCCTGTTGTTCCACAGTTCCAATTTTGAGTCAATAAAAGCTATTGTATGTGTGCAGGTCTGTTCTTGCCTACTGAAGCCCATTATACACACTATCTAGAACTCATAATGTAATCGGTCTTTAAAGCAATAAAAATGCATTTTTGTTTTTTGACATAATAGTAAGGGTTACCTCCAGTTTTAATCCCAAAAATAACTGTGGGACATCTATCAAATATATAGGATAAAGTTATAAAGCCTAGAAATGTATTGGAATAAACTTAATTCCATGGTTTGCAGTAACAATATTACAAATAATAAATACTTGAGAGACCGCCTTCTGCCAATTACCTCCCTGCGACCAATTAGATCACACAGATTGGGCCTCCTCCGTATTCCATCGGCCAGCCAGTGTCGGCTGGCAACCACAAGGAGGAGGGCCTTCTCAGTAGTAGCCCCGACCCTTTGGAACGAACTCCCCGTGGAGATTCGTACCCTCACCACCGTCCAGGCTTTCCGCACAGCCTTGAAGAACTGGCTAGCCCGTCAGGCCTGGGGATGAAGATAGTTGCCCCTCCCGAATGATGAATGCATGTTGCCTATTGTTTTTATTATATGTGTCTATGTTACTGTTTGCATTTCCCCTTCCCTGATTTTATGTGAGCCGCCCTGAGTCCCCTCAGGGAAAAGGGCGGCCTACAAATTTCAATAAAATCAAAATCAAATCAAATCAAGTCAAACTTATTATTCACATGCTTGAAGTTGAGGATCCAGCTAGACATCTGCCTTAATATCAGCATGGTTTTCAACCTAATAAATTGGTACTCCTGGCTGCCAATTTATTTTTTGCTGGGGCTTCTGAAGTTGTCATTTCTCAGTGTTACCTTTTCTTATGGCACAATTGTATGCTGGATATTTTCTAACGTGGAATGCCATTTGTGGAAAAAAGATGATACACCTGCATGATTAAATGGCTGCAACTAGACATCCAAGAAATTAAACCTGTCAGGCGAAAGTTCCTAGAACGATGTTGTTATGCATCTGTTCAGGGGACAGGCTGGTTGTTACTTTGTACGTTTGGAAGAAGACGCCATTTAACAACATTTGAAATGATATACCAGGCTCTTAACCAATGTTGTTTCTTCCCCTGGAGTTTATCACCCTAAGCTACCATTCGTTTTAGCTTGAATATAAAGTATTCAGAATTTATGCTCTGAATATATCTTGCTGTCCCCTCTAGCTGCTTTTCTCCCTAGATTTTTTTTAAGGCACGAATATATATGTGCTGTAGCAGAGAGATATTCCTGTCTTTCACATTCGCTGTTAGAGAGAGATTTTATTTATTCAAAAACCTACATAGCCAACTATCTTATACAATAGAAACCTGAGCAGCTCAGGAATAATAAGAGAAAGGAAAGGGAATTCAGAACATCCTCTAATTGCCAGTTCCTTGAGGAAAACCTTTATGCAATTCACTTTTTCTGGATGACTGTATAATTCAAGTCCCCAATTCTGGCAGATTCAGATGTTTAGAACTGCAAAATTCTCAGTGTCCTGTAAATTCTGGAGTTTAGCTATAATCAGTGGTGGAATTCTGCCAGTTCGCACTACTTTGGGAGAACCGGTTGCTAGCTTTCTTAGCAGTTTGGTGCAGTGGTGGAATTCTAATAATTTAACAACCTGTTTTCTACCCTAATGATTTCTTCCAACAACTAGTTCACCAAACTGTTCAGAAAGTTAACAGCCGGTTCTCCCGAAGTGGTGCACTGGTTTGGTGAACTGGTTGTTGGAAAAAATCATTAGGGCATAGAACCGGTTATTAAATTATTTGAGTCTCACCACTGGTTGTAAACCCAACACATCTGGAAAGTGCTGATTTTAGGTAATGCTAAACCCCATTTCCTTTATTTTCCTATTTAATTGAAGCCAGTCCAGCTTTCCCATCTTGGGTGGAGACATTTCCATGAATTCTGACTGAATCTGTTTGCCCGGCATTTAGTCCTTAACCCTTCAAAGACAGCTTCAGGAACATCAAGTGCTCATGGTTTTTGAGTAGATTCAGACATCCAGTAATTACTAACTTCCACTTGAATGTCCTTTCCATTTGACATACTGTTGTTTGCTAAAGTGTCTTCTGTAAATATTGTTTTAAAACACCCTTATTTTTTTCAAGGCCGTGGAGGATCTCTTATGCAGCAATCCTCTCAACCCCTTGAATTACAGGAAACCTCTGTAAACAGACTGCCCTGCACCTATCTCAGCATTCCTGACAGCTCTCCATGCTATTTGTATTTCTGTCACTTGATCCGTCTTTCCACACTGCGTTGCTCCTGTGCATTGGGCTGCAGAGCTTCAAGCTACCAATAAAAAGTAGCGAAGAATTAGAGGTTCCTGTATGTTTTTATTGTCATCTGGGGCTCAGCAGGAATGTTTGCAGCCCAGATATTCTCGAGAGATCCACTGAATTTAAATTTCAGAGCCCACCTCCTTTGCAGTCTCCAACAGCCCATTTTGATCTCGGCCAATGATTGATGGAAAAGGTTCTTGAACTTGCAAACTGTCACTCTGTGAAAATATTTATCCAGCATGTAGCTGCTATGTAAAAGGCAAATTCCATATTGGGTAACAATTAGAAAGTCTTGGCAGATGGCAGAGCTGTTTAGAAGCTCAGTAGGGTCAGGTTTAGTTAACAATTGGAATAGAGAGACAGAAAAATCAAGAACTGTTGTCTGTATTGAGAAATTGGGCATTGGTGACGGAGGTGGTGGTGGTTGAGAAACCTTTAGATGGTAATGACAAATTGTCCTTATTCAGTATCAAGCTTAGATGAAAACACAACTTTAAATAGTTGGGAAAATGATCAATAGCATCACAATTAAAATTAAACATACTGTACGACATGAAATTTAAAATATGAAATACAAGATTAAAATATGTACAAGTTTATTCAGTGCACACATATATCTTGTTTTTTCATTTGCACAGACTTTTCAAAGCCGATTATAGCAGGGAAAAGAATGCAAACTGCAAATAATGCAAAATTTTAGAAGTATAAAATTAAAACTGATGGCAGTGCAATGCCTATTATACAAATCAATGAGAGAAGCCAACTTCATCGGGCATGCTGCATATAGTTCTGTTATAACAAGATATAACAAAAATAGAGGAAAAAAATGCTGTAGAAAAAGATGATCAAAATGATAAAGGGGACTAGAACAGCACCTTAGGGCAAGCAGTTGCAAGGTTTATGCTTTTAGCTCAGGAAAAATG